TAGAGCCCCGTCCTTCTCCTTAGCATCTTTGTTCCCCTTGACGGGCCCCTCTCGGGAGCTCCCCGACTGGGCCTGCTCAAATACCCTGCGTACTTTTGTAAGCTCTTGAGAGCTTTCTCCACAACCACCCTCGCTCTTAGTGTTGCTACCTAGCATGTTTCCCATCTTTTAATATGTTACTCACCGCGTGAGGCCCAAGGAATCCGCCACTTACGCGTGAGCCTGAGGGGAGTCTAAAAGCCCTGTAGGTGCGCGCCACCCAGAGCCCAGGCTTATCCCCAACTCACCTGTCTCGCAGCTCTGTACTGGAGCGTTGTCCGCTGTCACGTCTCGGGGGTGATCAGTCCCCGTGCGGGCCTCCAAATGTCGATGTCCGCTCCCGGCCGGCAGGAAGGACACACGACAAAGTCTGGCAGTGGACAACCTTTTCTTTTATTTTCCTTCTCCGTACAGCCTGCCCTGGGATCGCTCCCAGCCGAAGCCTCCTTTGGTCCGCTCCCCGCGGCTCCTTCTGGGCTTCTATTTCCGGGCTTCTTCTTCCCCCCCAGGGGTGGCACCAGTATATATACGGATACAGTGTCCAATCATGTTAAAGTAAGCAAGGCAAGCTGATTGGCTAACATCATCAGTTGCCAGGCAGACTATATTGTTGAGCGGGTTGCTTACGCGGTAAGCAGGAAACTAACGTGCTCGATGGGAGGGGTAATCTACCTCAGGCTTTACTCTTTACTACAGGCCTCACGTCCGCCAAGTGAGGCGACCGGGCTCGGGGCTGCGGCTCCCAACAGAGGATGACAGCCCGTACTCCTTAACATACTTCCCTGAGAAAGTTCAGTGCTGTCAAAAGAATTTACTGATTGTTCCTGCCAAAACCTGAGCATAGGCCCCGAGCTCTCCTCTCTCAGAGCATTTAATGTAGAAAACTTGCAGTTATAAATTTATTTTCTTTTTGAGATTTATCTTGTACATTCCAGGAATGTCTTTCTCAGGGACCTGGAAACTATCACTGTGAAATACGATCATCAAGAATGATTAAGAAAAAACAAAGAATGATTGGCCCACCCCAACCTCCGGGGGTGGGTGGAAGCCTAATTTCTATAACCACAGGCAACAGACAGCGGCCTAGTCACATGGAACTCACATGGAACTCGGCACATAACATGTTTTTTAAACCTCCTGCCTTTTGTGTCTGTACATTCGAGTTTATTTATATACTGGAATCTCCTTGCTGTAGTAGCTTAACAAAACCTTTCTTGTAGTTTTTAACAGTTTTTGGTGAATAATTTACCTTTAACATCATGAGTTAGCCTGTTATTACGCATGGCACGTTTTTGGCCGTGTTGTAGTGAAGACAAATTCTCACAGATGGTGTCGTTTATCTATCTGCATTTTAGGTTTCTCAAGATGATGCTTTTTCTCAGGATTTGTTCTTCATACTCTCTGCACTTTGATGGAGATGGGTTCAAGGGAGGCCGTAGGACGAAGTTTTGTCTAAGATGACAAGAAAATGCTAGAGCTGTGTCCAGAGGCAATGCCCAGACCCCCACGTCTCCGTGTCTGCCTTGGTAATCTAACTTCAAACCTCTCAAGGGTTCCTGTAATTATCCCAGTTGGGTCTTGCAGTCTCAATTTGACCATGGGACCTTCAAATGCAGTAGGTAGTTAATTAGAGTCTGAGACTCAGGAGAGACACCTGAGCTTAGAGACACGGATTTAAGGTGATCAATCAGCTATAAATTGAATAGTAGGATCATGAAGCAAGATTCGGTGGATTATGAGAAGACATGACAACACGGACAAGTGCTCTTGTTTAAGAAGGGATGGAAGACTGCTTCTCAGCTTTCTACTTACCATCACAAACAGAACAATATAGGCATATGTCACTGAGGGCAGTTTCTAAGAAATCTAACCGTCCGTATATGAGGCTCAGTGACATTTTTCAATGCTATCTATATTTGTTTTTTATGACTGCCATACTATACTTTGGTACCATAAATAGTGTAGCTAAAAACAAGAGGAATTTATTATCTCATAGTTCTGGGGCTAGCAATCCAAAATTGAGGTGTCAGCAAAAACTGGTGCCTCTGAAACCTTCAGTGAAATTGTTCTCTTTCTCTTTTCTTGCTTCTGGTGGTTGCTGCCAGTCTTCAAAGTTCCTTGGCTAATAGTTATAAGTCTTCAGTATTTACCCTCATTACCACACAAGATTTCTCTTTGTCTCTGTGTTCACATGGCCATATTCTTATAAGAACTCAAGTTACATTGGATTAAGGACCCTTCCTACTCTAAACCTTTGCCTTAACTAATTACTTCTGAAATGACCCTGCTTCTAAATAAGATCTTATCCTTAGGTACTGGGGTTTAAGGCTTCAATATATTCTTTTGGGGAAACAGAATTCCTTTCATCATGTTAAGTTTATATTTCATAATTATAACAAATGAAATAGAAAGTACTATGATAGTAAACATTATATTTAATCTGATTTTAATATCATTTATATTCAAATTGGATATATTTTCTTATTATACATGATCACTAGCACTGATAAAAAATGTGCACAGAATTCAAATTCTAGATTATTTATCATGGGTAAAAAAATCATATGAATATATAATAAAAAGAATATTCTATAAATCCTCTGTAAATATAAAGTTGAAATTATATTAGAAAAATCTATCAGTCTTTCCTTATTTTTTCCCCATGGATAGGTATAACAGAAAATTTCTCATAAAGGTAATAAATTTTAAATCCAATCAAATTTTCTACAGATGAACAAACATACATTGTTAGGATGGCCATCAAGTAGCTTCTCCAGATAGTGTAGCTAGCACGAATATATTTGAAGGCAGACTTTGGCCACTATTGTAATACTAGTAGGAAGGAGCCCTTGCCTGCCTTCTCCATCATTACCACCTGTCTCTTGAGCACTATACTCTCTTCTTTAGGTTAAGAAATGTAATGTCCCAGTAGGCCACTCCTAGAGTGACTCAAAGGAGAGGGGCGTCCCTTATGATGCTGAGAAGAGGGCAGACACTTGCAGATTCACCCTTCTTAAGTGACTCTTGCAGGAGCACAGAATAAATGTGTTTTTAATGACAGCAGTCAGCTAGGAAGTGCTGTACTTCTGGGCTCCACCATAGTGCTTTGCTTCCTGCCTGGTAGGAAGCTCTGAGACAAAGGAAGTGAAGTCTTTAAAAGCCAAACAAGTTAAGCAAGGGAAAAACAGATGACTGTGGTGTTTCAGAAGCCAAGGGAAGGTGTGGCCCGCAGAATCCATGCTGATGGTGCTGCGTAGGTAGGCACTGAGACACTATGAGAGACAGCAACAAATAGAGTTTTTTCAAATGGGAGAAGCCCATGTACAAATTACCAGGGTTACAGAGAATGTCAATAAGAGATGGGATGGCAGAGGTAGACAACTGTTTTAAAACTTTGACTTCCAATCGGTGTCTCTAAGTTTACTAGTTTTATGTTTTGTTGTAGCAAAATAGACCATATATTAAAATTTGTCCCCCAGGATTAACAGGAAAGCTTTTTTAAAGTTATACAACATCAGAAATATTTAAGTAGATTTATATGTTATTAAGTGTTTTGAGTTCTGTGGAAAGTCTGTGATTCTTCCTGTATCAGTCCCCTCCCCACTCACAACAGAGCCATCACTTTTTAAATCTAACGTGAGGAGGAGGATGAAGAGCTTGATACCGGGCTCTGTTTCCAAAAAAGGAAAAAAGAAAAGGAAAGAGCAAAGAACATCAAAAATGCATTTTTGATCCACTTTAGTGTTCAGGTGAAAACAAAGGTAAATCTCCTGGAGCGGCATTAGGAAAGGACGGAAGCCTGGCACGGTGGTGTGCACTTGCAGTCTTAGCATTTGGGAGGCTGAAGCAGGAGGACTGATGCCAGACCCTGGGTCAAAAAGATGAAAAAAGGAAAGGAAGGGAGGGCACAGAGGCAGGTGGAGGGAAGGAAGGAGAGAGGGAGGGAGCAAAGGGAGGGAGAGAAAGAGCCCAAAAATCTTTTCATAAATTATTAGATTTACTTTCTGAGAAGAGAGCATTATGAACAGTGAGTCAATGTTTGCGAAATGTTCAGAAGGAGTTGGGAGATTAATTTCTTGAGATTTATAGAGAATAATAAAAAGACTTGGAAGTGCAGATGTGAAAATGGTGTAGTCCTGGCTCAGCCTCAGAACCATGTTGGAAATAAATTGTTAGAAGGACCCACCAATGACTTTCAGGGGTGCTCGATTCAGTTAAGGGAGATAGTGTTCTAAAAAAGTGTTCCCCAGACACTTAGCTTCCTTTTCCATCATGTTTTCATAGCAGAGCGGATGCTGCAATGGTAATAAGTATAACTATGTATAATTGTGATGCTATACCCTAGAATACTGGACTCAGTTTCACCTTTGAAAGCCGATTATCCATCTGTCCTTAAACCTTTGTCCTTTGACTTTTCCCACTTTGCTATATAATTGCCTATATAAATCATTTAGTAGGTAGCTTATCTGAAGAAAATATCAAGGGACAGACAGTATGTCTCAGCAGTCGAATACGTGCCTAGCAGGAGCAAGGTCCTGGGTTCAATGAGAAACAGACAGAGAGAGAGAGAGAGAGACAGACAGACAGACAGAGACAGAGAGACAGAGATGGAGAAGACAAAAAAAGAGGAGTAGGAGAAAGGAAGAAAGAAGGGAATTTCAAAGCTGTTTATGGTATAAACTAAGATTTGTACTACTTTGAATTTTATTATTACTTTCATTTTCTGAAAACTGGTATCAAAGAAAAATAATTATAATAATTATAAATAATAATTAAATAAGTGAGGATGACTTTATTGAAGGGTTTTGTATTAGGGAGAGAGTAAGGCAGAGGAATCAGGGGTTTATAAGGGCTGAAACGAGGTGTCACAAAAGTACAGGAGGACCTTAGGGGTAGGACGTACACCATCTGCTAACTGGCTTTATCCAAAGGAAAAATCAACTTCTCATTTCTTTTGACAGGAGATAGTTTTGGCAACCTCAAGCAAAGTGTCCATGAAGTCGGTCTTCTGCTTTCCCACAGCAGTTGGGAGACAAGGATGTTATTTCCTTTGATGATTACATTTCAAAGGGATGGCTCCCAGGCCTTTGAAGCAGAGGTATTATTGGGTTGTAAAACTGGCAAAAGGCTTTATAAAGTTATTTACATCTCAGGAAAGGAAAGAAATTACAAATTTTCTAAAATACAAATTCTATAGGAAATGAGGGCAGGGCTTTCAGTAAGGAGAAAGGTTACCTAGTTTTTATTTCTCCCATTGATTATTGTTCATGTGATGTTATTATTTAATGTTGAATTAATTCTTGCTCAGTCTAATACATTTGCATATTAAGCTCCACTTTTGTTTTCTCCAATGAAAATACTGTCTATTGTAACACTGTCTAATACAACATTCTGAGGTGATGAATCACCACTAACCAGATGCAGCCTTTGGGCACTTGGCACATTGCAACTGTGACTATGGAACTAACTTTCTAATTTAATTGGTTGAAATTTAAATAGCCACCTGTGTCTGGTGGCTGCCATGTTGGACAAGGTGGCCTCCAAATTTACCTCAGCATCATTTTATCTGCAGAAAAACTTTAGCTACCAAATGTGATGCCTATGACCCGGGTCATTCTTTAAGGAGAAATTATCACTGGGGTTTATGGACACTGTACTTACTTTGGAGAGAAGTAAGATAATGTACATGAAACTACCCAGCAAAATCAGTACTCAGAAATGTTAGTTTTTCAGATTCCTTCAAGAAGCACATAATGATTCTCTGGCCGTTTAGTCTGGTTTTCAATCTGTATAAATGATAATTAACTTCATAAGATCTTAAAAGATAAATTGATGAATCTCATAGTGGAAAAATAAAAGTGGGATGCAAGGAGGAGGGAAACTGAATAAAATTGGAATGTATCACATACATGTACCAATTCCCTACAGTGAACGTAGTCATTTATGTATTGCAAACATGAACTAATAAGAGTCAAGAAATAAGAAGCACATAATAAATTGACAAAATTTTTACAGTCTGGAACATAACAAACAGCAAGACCTTGGTTGTGTAGATGTTATAGGAACAGAAATGTCAGAATTCTTCATTCACTATGATGCACAAATACAATGACTGTTTTATGATTTACAGACAGGTACTTAATATTGGGAAAGTTATTGTCCTGATATTAACTGAACCCAAAATTCCAAATTTTAAAACCAGAAATCATAAGCATGTGGGATACCCCAAACATTTAATAATAGCATATCATTATATAATGTTATTATGCATTCTTTTTTTTTTTTTTTTTTGGTCTTTTTCGTTTTTATTGGTACCAGGGATCGAACTCACAACTGCCTGCTTGCAAGGCAGGCGCTTATGCCGCTGAGCTAAATCCCCAGCCCCCTTATTATGCATTCTTTGCTCTCAAAGAGTTACAAAAACCAAAACCCTATATAAAGACTAAAATGAACATTCCATAAAGATTCTATGTATGATCTTATAAATCACATGTTCTAAAAAGAAATGTTGTCTTCTCTGGCATGAATTATATATCTAAAAATGTAGCACACATGGTAGTGATGGGAAGGAAAAATAGCACATAATGGGAGAAAGAGAACAATATTGGCAAATCTGTGTCACCAAAATGTAAGGGCCATGACAGACTACAATTAGCTTTTATCTGAAATTAGGCTACTAAGGAATTATACATTTTTGAGTTGTGAGCATACAAGTTGGTTTATCCCAGACAGTATGTTCCTCCTATATCTCACTTGGCTTTTTTTTCTACTGTTAAGTACTGTCATGTATTTTCACTTGTAATAGTTTCAATTCAATTTTCTCAGGGAATTAATTGTATGGTGATAAGTTTCCAAAAGATATGGTAAGTTTTTATGACTTGATCAGGATAGTTATATAAAAATTGAGTTTGGATAAATTGCCTGTTTCTGATTAAAGAGTTTGGGGTATTGCATTCAATAAGAAGCAGAATATTGGAACTTACAGTTTAGCAGTTCATTTCATAATTGGTCTGAAAAAGATGTTATCCACTGACTTTGTATTGTCAATCTCATGCTAAACAGATACGACTCATTACTTAATAACTAGAAAATTTTACTTCATTTAAGTGAAATTGATTTAAAACATCTCAGCTTTACACAATGCAAAAATGATAAGATTATGATTTGCCAATAAAGACCAGTAGAGGCCAGTGATTTAACTCAGCAGTGCAGTACCTGCCTGGCAAGCATGAGGCCCTGAGTTTGGTTTCTGGTACTAAAAGATAAAATAGTTTTTTAAAAAAGTCTCCCTCAAAAACTACTTTTTAAAAACCTTTAAAGACCATTAGAACAAATTGTAAAAATTTATTTTTGATGGGTTAGCTTGATTGTGCCCATTTGATTGGTTTTGGGATCAATCAGGGGACCTGCAGAGTACCCTTCTAGTTGGGTCTGGGTGGGTCATTGAGGCATAATCTTGGAGTCTATATCTGGTTCTTCATCCTTTCTTTTTCTTTTTAAATTTTTAAATTGTATTTTAAAGGGACTAAAACAGAAGAGTAAAGTGAAACAAAACAAAACAGTGATAGGACAGTAGGAAATCCACAATCATCATTATGTTGCATGATCTTATCCTCTAATTAGTTGCCCAGTTGCCCAGTCAATCAAGCAATTTAAATGTCAGGTTGATTCAGTATTATCATCTTAGCCCGTGTGGTGTCCAGTTAATTTTGGTCGGGGGAGGGAGGACGCAGGAGACAGGAGGCAGGAGGTGGAGGCGGCTTCTTTTCTGGTTCTCCCCATCTGACAGAACCTCCGCTGGCTCACAGGAAGGCCGATGGCTTCTTTGCTGGTTCTCCCCTACAGGTAAGGCCTCCTGCGGACTGCACTCCTTCCTTGCTGTTTTTCCCTGGTACATAGGTTTCCCTGGACAGCAGGACCTCCGCCGGCGCGTAGGTTTCCCTGGACAGCAGGACCTCCGCCGGTACATACGTTTCCCTGGACAGCAGGACCTCTGCCGGCACGTGGGTTTCCCTGGACAGCAGGACCTCCGCTGATACGTAGGTTTCAGGGTCTGCATTACTTCGCTGTTTCTCCGCTGCTGGCAGGCCTCTGCTGGTGCACGGGGTGCAGGGACTCCCTCCATCCTTTCTTTTCTGGTGCTGTTCCCCTGCTCTGAGTCCTGATAGCCATGAACAGAGAGCTTCACTCTTGTATCATTCCACCATGATATTTTTGCCTTGGAGCTGCTGACCATGAATTGATTCTCCTTTAAATGTGAGCTATGTTGAACTTCCCTTCTTTTAAATTGTGGGTGTCAGCTATTGTGTCCACCAATGAGAAAGCTAACATACACTATTTAAGGTATTTCACGTATAAAATTTCAAATTATACTGTTAAGGAACAAGTCCATACTACAAGACATAATCATATAATTGTGTTTCTTGCTGCTAAAGGTAAACATACAATAATTAGCAAAGAAACTTTTTTGGGAAGCAGGGTCTTGATGTGTAGTTCAGGTTGCTTTGAACTCACTGTATAGTTCAGGCTGACCTTAAACTTGCAGCAATTGTCCTGTATCAGCCTCCCAAATGCTGTGATTACAGGCATGTGCCACCATGGTTGGCATGAAACTAATGTTTACCAGACAACTTTTGTATGCTGAATACATAAATGAAAAATTCTTTTAACCCATTTTTGTGTTTTTTATTTCTCATCTACTTTAACCTGAATTCACATGACTATTTCATGATTCCTTTGGATATGGTCAATTATCTTTATATTGTGATGATTGATTACATATGCTAATATTTTGTATTTTACAGACACTATGACTTGTTTTCACTCTTAAATTTTGAATCAATTAAGAAACAATGATCTTACATGAATGCCTACTGAACCTGACATGGACTTTAAAACATATAAAATATAAATATTCTTATTTGAAACATTACAATGGTTAAAAAAAGAAATCCACAAATTTGAGAAATTGAAATATGCTTGAGTTTGGAAAAACATCCTTACAAAGTTAATGCCTAGAAGGGATGGTTATTGTTTTATTTCTATATTTTAAAATACCTTTTTAAAGAATTTTTTGATCCACAATGTAAATGTAATGACTTTCAAATAACTGCGGTAAATAGTTCTGAATAAATGAAATGTTCTGGTTTACACTGACTCCTTTAAAAATCTCAGTATTTGATCATTTAAAAACTATGTTCTGAATATATTCACAGTATAAGGTAATAACTAGTTCAAATTTAACATATTTTCATTTTCACAGTATTTCAAATGTCAGTACTGTAACGGGTGGACTGATTCTGTGTTCTTTGGGACACTGCCAATACTTGCTTCTGTGTTCTCTGTTGACTTCTTTGCAAAGTTCTTAATGTGAGTTTTGCTTAGATATGCACACTGAGTAACTATGAGATCACTGAACAATTTTCTTCATTACAAATTTTCCATTTTATACTTTCAAATTTTTATTTTCGTTACTTGTGCATTATAAACACTATTTCATTTTAAATAGAAGCCGATTTTCTAAGTTCAGTTTCTACACAATCCTGCATGAATTAAGGGGTACTGTTTGCATCTCTGAATTCCAAGAAAGACCTTTCAGAAAAGGTCCTGAAGAAATGCTGTTATAGAAGCTGTCTCTGTCTTTTGTGCACCACTTTACCATAGACTCGCAGTCCTGGGGTTGAATATCTTCTCACTCAATTCTATGTAAACTATTTAGCATAGTTTAGCACCCCAGTGAATGATCATTTAGTCTTGGCTTCAGGCCCACCAATGATGGGAAAATTCATCTTCACAAAACCCCCTTTCCATTTATGGTATAGTAGAAAGCCTATTGGTTTTGGAAACAGACAGGATAAATCACAATTCTAGTTTTAGCACTGTGAAGCAGAGTATTACCTTCTCTGAGCTTTGACATACAAGTGCACAAAATCAGCTGATGACAAACTGTATGAAGATAAAGCTAGCTCAGGTACAATATGCTCAATGATTGATAGTCCCCACAGAATTATTTTTTCTGCTAAATCTGCTTTCCTATAAATTACTTCATTCAATTAATATTTGTTGAAAGGACTATTCAAGTCACCATACTGTATATAGCTGGGAACAAGACAAAAGGAAATTTAGTTTCAGAAAAATTACATTCTGATGATAAGAAGCAGGCCAGTAGATAGCATTTAGCTCTGTGCTTACTAAATATTCACTGAACTGAACAGAGTGTACTTTGCTCATGTTAAAAGGATTTATGCAAGATCAGGAGGAATGATTTAAGGTGAACTGTATGTTTCCATTAAAGTTTCTAAGATATCCTGCTTATTTTCTTTATAACACTTACCATACTTGATATCGTGCACATTACTATGTTTTCTGTCACCTCCTTGACCCGGAATGTGAGCTTCTTGAGGATGGGATTTGTATTTCCACTGCCTAGAACTGTGGCTGCCATCTATAGAAACTCAACAAATATTTGTCGAATGACTGGTAGTTCAGCTCCAGTTATACTCATGAAATGGGCAGTTTAAAGGAAATTCAAAGCATTTTGCTTCCCTATTATCACTTGGCTACAGGAAGCAAATTTATGAGCTTTCATACCTAACATCTTGTTGCCTAAAAATGGTTCTTGCTTTTTGGAGCATTTCATGAAAACTATTAATTCTTAATATAGAAAAATGTAGATATACATAAAGTTTTGAAATCAAATAAATATACAAAAATATCTGGTTGAGATTCCTTGACCTGATGGAGGAGGGAGAAAATTGAAAAAGAATTAAGATTTGCGTGTGCATGTGTGTGCCTGTGTGTGTGACATTTCTTACTTTTTGGAAATAATACTAATGTCTATTGTTAAGTGCCCATTACTTTATTTGATTTTTTTCTCCCTATGATTCCCTTCTATTTTCTTGAGGGAAAAAGGAGAGGGTGCCAGAGATGGAGCCCAGTTAGTAGCATGCTTGCCTGGAATGTTCAAGGCCTAGGGTTCTATCATCAGCATCAAATGAATATTAAGCAATTATTTTAAACTTTATGTAACAGACTACTTAAAATACTTAAAATTTTGGAGTACTCAATTAGGACTAGACCCTGTTCTATGAAGATAAAACCCACATTTTTGGAAGTGGTTCTGAGAGTGCTGAAGGCTACAAACCCTCTGGAGTGGTACAGAGTTTTCCACATGACGGGGTTAGGGAGTCTCTAAAACGGACCCCAAAGATCTCTGCATCCTGATATTCACACATTTTGTGCTATATCTTCCCCTTAAATGGAGCGATTCACTTCTGAGCAATAGAATATGGCAAAAGCGATGGACTGTCACTTCTGAATTTAAGTTACAGGGGACCAGGCCTTACACTTTGCTTTTTTTGTCTTGAGTTCTCTGTTCCTCTCCTTCTTGCTCTTCTTACTTGCTTGTTCTGATGAACAAGTTGATGTGTTGGGTCTGCACCTTGCAGTGGCCTACATGGCAAGACAAAAAAAGAGCTAGATCTTGTCAGTATCCACAGTGAGGTGACCCTGGAATGTGACCCTCCCCTAATGAAGCTTTGAGACAAAGGCAGCATTGGCTATGACCTTGACTGTGGCCACAGGAGAGGCCCTGACACAGGCTGCCTAGTAAGGCCTACCCTGCATTCTTGACACACAAAAACTGAAATAAAAATGTTGTTACTGGACTAGAAGTTTAGTTCAGTGGTGCAGTGGTACAGTATGTGCTTAGCATGCACCAGGCCATGGTTTCAACCTCTGGCAGAACACACACACACACACACACACACACACACACACACACACACACATTGTTATTTTAGGTCACTAAGACATATGGTAATTTCTTCCACCTAAGTGATAACTAATACATTATTCAGATCTACCTTAATATATCAAGGACTACCTTATGCATTATATGAAAAACTCTAGAATTATATTGTAAGTCACTAAAATATACCTTGGGATAGACACCAGAGAAAACAGTAGCATTTCATAGTAGTAGTAGTAATATATTTCCAACAAAACTGTTCTAAGATGTCATTGACTTGATTTAAAAAACAGTGATCAAATTTTTCATTCTCTAACAACCCCCAAGTTTTTTTTTTTTTAAATATCATTCCTATTTTTTTCCTTTTTCAGTCCTGGGATCAAATACTAGGCCTTAAGCAAGCTACACAACCTCTGCCACTAAACTGTATCCTTGGCCTTCTGCTTCATTTTAATAGGTTGAACGGGAGAAATAGTAGCATTGTCCTATTGAAAAAGCTAGATTTGATAGTTTCATTAAATAACTATGAGGGAAAAAAGAGATACCTGAAGAAAAACCTTACAATTATAAAACTAAGTTTGCATTTATAATCATTGCAGTCATTAATGATTTTGAGATAACTGGTGTGTGTAGAATATATGTTTGCATAATTTGTGTGTGTGTGTGTGTGTGTGTGTGTGTGTGTGTGTGTGTGTTGGAAATGTACCCACAGCCTCCTAGGCAAAGTCTTTTTTTTTGTGTGTGTGTGTTTCTGAATAGAATCTCTTTAGGGAGATTTTAACATTTGTCTGGGTTTATTAAGTGTTGCTTATTCTATAAGGACATTACTGTCATAAGTAGAAATGTGAAGCAAAGCGCACTTAATTTTAAGTCAATCAGACCACAGGAAGCAGTTTTTCCTGTGTGTTTGATATAAGTTTAAAAGGAGTGAATTCTGGAAAAATTCTGATGAATTTTTCCATAAGTATGAGGGCTGGCAGTAGGGTATATGAAAAGCTGAAATTGTTACCTGCTAGCTCGAATTCTTAGCTACATGTATGAGGAAAACAAGAGCTGGTTATTGAACCTGCTGACAGCTGTCGTGTTGCCATTCTCTTCTTCAGAACCTTCCAGAGGGGAGGATCCTCACATGGGTTCCAAGATGTTACAAATCAAATGGAGGTTCTTGCTCAACTGGTATAGCAATCACAAACTAGCAAGCTGTACCTTTTTCAGTGTTAGCAGCCCTCTGAATGCCAGGGGCTATCAGCTCTTTTAGTGTTGATAATGCTATGCTTTGAATAGCCAGTGGCCTTTGTTACCAGCTCTTACTGTGCCAGTTCAGCATGTTCTGCCCAAAATGGAAATCACAAATAGGCCAGAATATACTATCTAGAAAAAGCTTTATTAGGACTTATGATACAACACAGGGAGAACAATACTTGGCTGAACCTGCTCAGGATGTACAGAGGTTGCTTATAAAGGAGAAAAGATGGAATTGTGTATGTACAGGGTCACACTTTCTGTTTGTTTATGGGCAGGCGAAGGGGCCCTTGCTAACCTGAATAAATCAGGCTGCAGAGGAGCAGAGTCATCAGTGGAGGTTACAGGGCAGAATCATCTGGGATAGGTCTGTGCCCAAAGCTTTCTCCAGTCAAAGCAAATATTTTCTGGAGCGTTGATGATGTGCCCGATACAGTCAAGCTGGCATCAAAGCATGGGGCTGCTGCTAAATAAAAGGATCAAAATTTTAGGGAGCATTGAACCTAACTTAGGATCTTGTGATATAAGAATTAAAATATCATTTGACCCCTCTCGATTAATCTTTGTTTAAAAACTACTACAAGGTTTCATGTGACTTTATTTTTTACATCAGTTTACTTTTTTCTAAGTGTGGATCAAGTAAAAAAACATGTGTGTTGGAAGAAGACATAATTACAATCTATTTGTGCCTCATGAGATAGATACCTTCAGTAGATACTATAAAAATAATTGTCAGAAAAATATACCTATCTAAGTCCAGGTTGATTTGGTACTTGTATTGAAATGCCACCTTTTTATAATTCTACGTCTGTAGTTCTTTTTTCCCTGATAAAACTTAATTGCTGCCTTGCCTGTATTCTCCACCACACTAAGGCCATGATTGGGACATAACAGCCTCAGGTCTTTCCAGACTGATTTAAGGCATGACTAAGCAACTTCCACAGTGACGAAAGGGTAAAATGTACTGAGAAGGCTCCTTTCTGATTCATTAGCCAGAAATGATCCCTAGCCTGTGCGGTGGAGTGACTGGGCAGATTAAACCAGGCCAAATGATTGCTACTTCTTCCTCAGGTGATTTCAGCAACTTATCTCCTCATCTAAATATAGATAGCATAGAAATAAACAATTGTATAGAAGGATTCCTCTATCAATATAAGTTCCAGTTTTCTTTGAAAGTCTGGAAGGACTAAAAGGATCTGTGTGAAAGTCTGCCTTTAAATTTTTTTTTAAATCTAAAATAATAACCCTCCTATCAAATTTATATTGCTTTTTTCCTCCTGCCTAAAGATTTACCAGTTTCCCTTCAGGAATTAGACTATATGTTTAGGAAAATGGTTTGGTCATGCTGTTTTCATTACAGCAATTTTTTTTTAACACTCCAAATTTCTACTCTGTCCTACGTGCTTTCTGTCAGGTCTCTTCATCCATCATGAATGAATCTCTTGTATAACTTTCCAGGGTACAACCTTTCATGCAATACTCTCCCTCTTCCACAAACCAGAAGCTGGAGCTCTGA